TATTTATGATCTGGAAAAGAGTGTGTATATATTTTATTTAATCCGAGAATAATATCTTGACCTCCTCACCACACGTCATCTAATTAAGGTACCGGAGGGAAAATGACAGATGGTCGTGAGGCTGCGAAATTAGAAAATTAGTGATAAACTATATTTTGCGTTGTCTTAAGAAAGACTAAAAGCCCAAGTTAAAAACCATCAGGATTAGATCCTGTACAATCATGATCCACCAAAGTTCGTAAGTTCTCAGGACAACTATCCCAAAATGCAGAATGAGAAAGACCCATCTTCGCAAGCCCGTCTGCCGCTTTTTTCCTTTCTCTTGATATATGCTTCAGCACAATTTTCCAGCTGAATCTCAGTAGCTCACGGATCCTGATAAGAACAAGACTTCCATACTGTATCTCCTCCTTCCTCAGAAGCTGCTCAATAAGATCCTTGGCATCTGATTCCAGAATCACCTGCTTGAATCCAAAGTCCCAAGCCAAGGTTAGACCCTTAAAAATCGCCCACTCCTCTGCTTCTGCAGCGCTGCACGTACCAATTGAAAAGCAAAACCCCATAATCCAGGTTCCAAACTGATCTCTGATAACCCCTCCACATCCTGCCTTAGCGGATCGTTGAGCCATAGCCCCATCAACATCCAGTTTCACCCAATTTTCCGGGTCTTGAGAGCGTTTTTAGTGAACTTGGCTTCTCTCCTTCTTGGTTGCGTGCCCTGCCCTCTTTTACCTTGAAACCAGTCACCACACGCTTTAATGAGATGATGACTATTTTTTTTAATTTTTATTCAAGATCTCAGCCCACTAAAATATTTTTTTAACAGCATTCAATATCTTAAAAAAAAATTTAGTATACTTAGTATTCTAAAATATTTACTAAAAAGATTTATTTTTCACTATACTAGTACTCTTCCGTCATTTCATATATATATATATATATATATATATATAAGAAACAATTTGCTAATATTTTTTTATCAAGTATACAGATAAAAATATATTGCATAGTTTAATATTTGATGCAATCTTTTTTTCAAAAACCCATGAGTACTCTCATTCCTTTTTCTTTTCATATAAACTCGGAATATTTTCAAATTGCTTTGAACTTAAAACTAATTCCTATATACTTTCCATCTTTTATCCAATGATAGACTACAGCTTAACTGTGTTTAACGATGGACATACAAAGTAAAAGAAAATATGTTCAGACGTCCAACTTTTTTTAATTATGTCACTGTACTTTTTTTCCCCTTCAATATCATGATAACGCGGAGTGAAATACGAGACCGTGATATACACACACACACGCATATATAATTATTAGGTTTTGAAGTCTTTGAACGAATCATCCCATACTCAGGTCGTAATATGAAGTTATTAAACCCAGACTTGCAGGAGTGAAATCATTCTCTATCCCCAAAAACAGTGAAACCAGGATTTGTGACTGTGAATCCTCCATCTATCACAAGATTGTGGACACAGTTCACCCGAATCCCAAACCGTCCAAGCTCCATGGCTGGTGTTCCTCGTCCGGCCCAACACTGCCACTGCGCGCCTCAGGCTCATGTGCGCATGTGACACCCCCCCGGGGGGGGGGGGGAACACAGCCACACACACTGGCTGTTTGTAAGAAACAGGAGGACAATTTTGTGATTTAGCTTGTTCAGTTTTGGCCCATTAGTTCTAAGTTCCTGATTGTATACGGATCCGGGACTTCTTGATTTTCTTTGTTTATCTGTTGAGACTGTTGGGCTCTGTAAAAGGGAGTCCTGTGGAGCTTATTCTCCTAAGCCCATATTGATGTAAATAGTTTGTCATGAGACTAATAGAAATGGTCTTGACTCTAATAGAAGGGATTAATCCTTTGCAGCGTGACAAATCAAAGTTCGAATCTTTATTAGGAGAGGTGTCTACATTTAGTGTCCGATATTGTCTCGAATAGGATTGCTTCTAATAAGAGGATACCTATACTATAGCAAAAAAAAATAGAAATGGCCTCTTTCTATCCGATGTGTTTGAAGGTTTCTGGTTAGGCTTAACTTCTCTACACCATTGATATGATGCTGCCAAAAAAAAAAAAAAGCTTTAAAACACGCACATAATAACTGATCTCTAGATGCCCTCGATGTGCCTCTTTTTCTTTTCATATCTCTTCAAATTTTCATTAGCGGATCCACGGTGTCTTAAACATGACAAGTACTATTTTTTTTCCAACAATTTTTTTCGTTTTTTTATTACTATAATCCCCTTTTTGTTTTGTTTTTTGCTTTTAGCTAGGTGTCATGGAAAAGTTTTTGTTCTACATATTGGAAGGAGCTTTCCGCGAAATTGCATATTTGAAATTAGAGTGCAGCTGATAGTGAATTTCGAAGATAGCTCCGGACGCAAATAAATACTTTTGTCTCGCATGTGGAAATTAAATTGGAGTGAAAATGATAGTTGTTATTGAATACTGACCGTGGAGCTCGGGCTATTCATTATTATGTGGGATCAGATTATACTTTTAATTTCTTCCCATTTTCTCAAACAACTTAGCTTATTAAATAGATTGAAAATCATAGTTGAGAAAAGCCCGGATATGAATATGATTGACAGGCCCACCACATTTTTCTTGAGGAATTATTAAAAATAAGATGACTCGTATTGAGTATAAGGTTTCTTAGGATAATGCATTTTTGTCTACTAGTGGCGACAATTAAGCCATTCACTACTTGAAAGCACATAAATTGAGTTTCTAATTAGAGATGAAAAAAGGGAGTGAGGAAGAGAGGGATTGAAGTTAATGAAGCCCTTTTCTGCAATTTAATGAAGTGGTTCATGTACCACAACACGCACTCGCCCTTCCATAATTTAATGAAGGGGTTTAAGGGTGTGTTTGGATGAAACCAAACCGTGGTTTGAAAAAGTAATTTTGGAGAATAGATTTTGGGGAAAATAAATTCTGTGAAGAATAGATTTTGTAAAAAAGTGATTCTGAGAAGTGAGAGTATTTGGATAGTTGTTATCAGAAGCACTTTTTATATGTACAAATTACTAAAAAAAGACATAAGTTAATATGAAAATTACAGAAAAAATAGATTTTATGATATATTTTAATTTGAAGGAATAAAATTGTTAATAATATATTTTTTACCAACATAATTAATAATACATAAGATAATATAATTAATAAATAATTAATGTGTATATATATTTATAAAATATAAGATTAAATATATTTATAAAAAAAATATGTTTATAAAAAAAATAACAAGATACATATCATATAGGCCCTCACACTCTCCCTTCTTTCTCCAAAAGCAAAAAAATTTTGCTTTTTCCAAAACCATGGTTTTGATCCAAAACCATGGTTTTGGTTTTTGGAAGGGGTGTTTGGGTAGATTATTCCCCAAACCATGGTTTGGAGTGTCACCCAAACACACGCTAAGTTTAAACTAAGAAGCATCAGACGTTGGGCTGCATCTTGAGCATTGAGCTTGATCAAACGGAGAGCCCAGTACGGCCCATAATATCTGATCTCGATGTGCCTGTTTTCGTTTTCATTTTTTTCCTTCAATTTTTCATTAACTCTTTTAAAAATATGAAAAATTAAAAGTTGACATACCTTTTAGACAACTTAATGTGGATGATTCGATATTGTATTAATATTAGATTTTTGACTTATTATATTGTTCCCACCACGTGTCATTAGTTTGAATTCAGAGTGAAAACGAGGGATGTACTTAAGATGGTTGTTAAGCTTCTTCTTGGAAAATCAGTTGTTTGAATTTCGACCCTGTGGCGGCAAAAGGAGGAATTTGTCATGTTGACGGGAGTATAAATTATTTAATTTAAACACGGCAACAAATTTCTAGGAAATAATTAATTAGCGAGTTGTTTTATATCAATCCTTTCCTTTTTGTTTTGTGATGTTTTTTCTTTGGGTCAATTTTCTACAGTAAACTTTTCAAGATCTCCCTCGTAAGACCAAGTGGCCAAGGTAATTACTGCTGATATAAGTACTATATTTTTCAATGATTTTTTTTTGTTTTTCTTGAATATAATCCTTTTTGTTTCGTTTTTTGCTTTAAGATCTCATAGAAAATATTTTGTTATATATTGAAGAGAATTTATTTATAGTCGTTGAACGGAGCTTTCCAGGAAACTGCACATTTGGAATTAGAGCGCAGGTGATAGTGATTCTCAAAGCTGGGGACGGAAATGCATACTTTTCTTTGTCATGTGGAAATTAGAAAATAAGAGTGAAAATGATAGTTGTTGAATATTGACTATGGAGCTTGGGGCATTCATTATGTAGGATCAGATTATACTTTTCTTTGCCTTTTTTTTTTTAAACAAGTTATTAAATAGAGTGAAAATAATAGATGAGAAAAGCCCCGGTATGTATATGATTGACAGGAAAATGAAAGATTGCATATTAATTAGAACGTGCAAAAACAAGTTAATTAATTTAATTATATAAAAATTACACACTCTCAACAGTTATGTCTATACATTCTAACAGATCGTAACAGCAGCAAGTCAGTACTGTGTCCGGCATTATCAATAATTTCTTTTGTTTTTCTAAATGATATTTTTTTCCTTTGGTTGAATTTTCTTCAGTAAACGATCTTTAAGGTCTCCCTTATGAAATGAACAGAGCAAGGTATTTCTTGACGACAAGTACTGTTTTTCTTCAATGATTTTTTTTCGTTTTTCTTGAATCCTTTTTGTTTCTCAGAGAAAAAATTTGTTCTACATGATTATTTTCTTAAAGTAGTTGAATGGAGCTTTCCACGTAATTGCATTAATTGGAAATTAGAGAGCATGCAGATGATAGAGAGTAAAGCTTGCCGGGACGCAAATACCTACCACTCTTTGCCGTGTGGAAACTAAATTAGAGTCAAAATGATCACATTAAGAGGGATCAGCAATTATCTCTATAAATACTAGCTAATAGATTCATCAGTAATGTGTCTAGCATATTATCAACTCAGTAGAGATACACTTGCGAAAGAAATGGGGATTATGTGGATGGGTTTTCTGAAATTGCTGGTGTTAGCTATGACAGTGTTTGAGGTTTGGAGAGCTATGGGTGCTGATGAGGTTCAATGCATAGAGAAGGAGAGGGAAGCCTTACTTCGCTTTAAGGCTGCTTATGGGAATGATTCTTCCCTTGTCAGATGGTCTTCATGGGGTAGCAAGCAGCACAAGACAGATTGCTGTGAATGGGAGGGAGTTTTCTGCGACAACCAAACTGGCCATGTCATCAAGCTCCATCTTCCTGGTGATTTTCCACTGTTCCCCTTGAAAGGTGAGATCGATGCATCATTGGTGGAGTTACAATACTTGATGTATTTGAACCTTAGTTCCAATAATTTTGAAGATAGCTCCATCCCCGAATTCCTTGCCTCTCTACGGCACTTGAGATACCTTGATCTCCACAATTGCGGTTTAACTGGAGGAAATATTCCAACTCAACTTGGGCTTCTTTCACATCTACAATATCTTGACCTCTCGTGGAATTTGGCTGAAGGAACAATACCTCATCAACTTGGAAACCTCTCGCAATTGAGGTATCTTGATCTCTCAGGCAATTCCTATCGAGGAGCAATACCTCGTCAACTTGGAAATCTCGTGCAGCTGCAGCATGTTGATCTTTCGCTAAATAGTCTTAGAGGAGTAATACCTTATCAACTTGGAAATCTCTCACAATTGCAGTATCTTGATCTCTCATATAATCCTCTTAGCGGAGTAATACCTTATCAACTTGGGAACCTTTCCAACTTGCAGAATCTTCTTCTACGCTTTGCAGGTACTCTCCAGATTGATGGAGAAAATGGTGCTGCTGAATATGAGTGGCTGTCTAGTCTTACTTCTTTGACCCGTCTAGAGCTGGGAAATGTGACTGATCTTAAATATTCTCACAAGTGGTTGCAGATGATTGCAAAGCTTCCCAACTTGAATGAGCTAACTATAATGTCCACTGATCTTTCAGATGAGTATATCCTCTCCTTACCCTCTTTAAAATTCAATTCATCTTCTTCTCTTTCTACATTGGATTTCACGGGGAATAATTTCAAGTCATCTGCAGTATTCCATTGGATCTTAAATATCAGCACCAACCTGCTTGATCTTAGTCTTTCTTCCAACCACCTGAAAGGTCCAATCCCTTATGAATTTGCTAGTACCTTGAATTCTCTTGAGAATCTAGACCTTAGTTATAACGAAATCACCGGCACATTGGTAAACCTTTCCACATTCTCATCTTTAAAGAATTTTGACATTTCAACAAACTTGTTGAATGGGACAATACCCAAAGATATTCGGTTTCCCTCCTCACTGGTGTCTTTGGATATTAGTTCCAACTCCTTAAAAGGCATTCTCACAGACTCACATCTTGCCAATATGCACAACTTGAAAGTTTTAGACCTATCTGATAACTCATTGACTTTGAGATTCAGTTATAATTGGGTCCCGCCATTTCAATTACAAGCCATCTATGTGAGGTCATGCAAGTTGGGTCCTGATTTTCCGAAGTGGTTGCAAACTCAAAATAATTTCACAGAACTTGACATCTCAAATGCTGGAATTACAGGCACAATTCCACAGTGGTTTTGGGATTTGTTGACACCAGAGCTTATAAACTTGAATGTTTCATGCAACAACATTTCTGGTGCATTGCCAAATGTTGCCATTGAATTTGGTGAATACCCTATTATATCTCTAGCTTCGAATCACTTCGAAGGCTCACTTCCAAAATTTTTACAAAATACCATGGCCCTTGATGTGTCAAATAATAGTTTTTCAGAACTTCACACATTTTTGTGTGCAAACGGGTCAAGTCAAATATTAGAGACATTAGACCTTTCTGATAATCAATTATATGGACAGCTTCCTAATTGTTGGAGTCGTTTCAAGTCATTAATATTTTTAGACTTGAGTAACAATAATTTCTCCAGAGAATTTCCTATTTCTGTTGGTTCTCTTCAAAGTCTTGAAATATTAATCTTGAGAAACAATGGATTTACCGGAGAATTGCTCACTACTTTGAGAAGTTGCTCAAATTTAGCACTTCTTGATGCGGCAGAAAACAAGTTCTTTGGACATATACCTTCACGGATTGAGAATGATGGATTGCAAAAGTTGAAAATTTTAGTCTTACGAAATAATAACATTTCTGGAAGCTTGTCCACCCATCTTTGTTATTTATCAAACCTTCAGTTTTTGGACCTATCTTTGAACATTCTATCTGGACAAATTCCCAAATGCTTCAAAAAATTCACACAAATGGCTCTAGAGTATTTTGATGGTCTTGGAGGGTTTTCAAAGAGTTATTATCTTGGAAGAAGTTCTTTTTCATTTGATCCAGTTGCAGTGCTGATGTGGAAACACCAACAACGTATATTTAGGCATGAAATATTGGTTACAGGCATTGATCTCTCAGGCAACAAGTTAAGTGGAAAAATTCCACAGGAAATAGGAATGTTAACTGGGCTGAGATCATTGAATTTATCAAGAAATCAATTAGATGGAGAAATTCCTTCAGAGATTGGACGTTTAACATCATTAGAGTCTCTTGATTTGTCCAAAAACCATCTCTTTGGTTCAATTCCGTCTAGTTTTGCTCAACTTAATTATCTTGAAGTGTTAGACTTGTCCCATAACGCCCTTACTGGAAAAATTCCAACTAGCACACAATTGCAGAGTTTTGATGACTCGAGCTATGAAAAAAATCTTGGCCTATGTGGAAAACCGCTTCAGATAAAGTGTCCTGGGGAGGAACAACCTCAAGAATCAGTTAAACTCCAAGAAAATAATGATTCAATTATCTCTAAAGAGTTTTACTGGAGCATGGCGTTTGGATTCATCATTGGATTTTGGGGAATTTTTGGGTCAGTACTTTTTAAGCGCTCCTGGAGGCATGCATACTTCAAGTTCCTCAACAACTTGGCTGATTCTATCTATGTTATGGTTGTACTGAATGTAACAAAGTGCAATAGATGGTTCAGAGGTTATGTGGTAATACTTTCTGCTTATATCTTTACTCTTGCTTTTATAGGCTTCGCATACCTACTATTAATTAATTTCTATTGTATATATTTGTGCCTTTAATTTCTCCACATGTAGTATTTAACTTTACTTATGAGTTATTGTATCTTATTAACAACCTCGGTCAGGCTTATTGTTTTTATTATCATCAAATAGTTAATTAAATCAACTTTTAAAATTCATTGTGCTGGTGTAATACCACCAAAAAAGAAAAGCAACTAAAAAATTTATATCTGGGGAATAAAGTATTTATGAGATTTAACTATAATTATATGGACAATGTCAAATTCATGTTGCGCATAACTACTATGCGATGGAAAAAAGTTTTGTAGCATAACAAATTAATCATAAAACGCCTCCGCTCTTTTGATTTTAATTTCTAGTTTCCCTATCTGTCGTAAAAATGTAATTATTATTTTTCTGTTTTCCAGAACATTGAGCTACTTTGTTGCTTGCTTTTCTTTTCTTTTTTCAGGAGAAACTACAGTAAACATCTTCAAGCTCAAAGGTGGGGCCACATGCAGAGCAGGAGACACGATGGGTTAAGGTTCTGTTAGGTATGAAACATTGAAAATAAGGTATAGAAATTAAGATTACAATTGAAAAAATTCATTAAAAAAAGTTTTTAGTATGAGTAATTGCTTATGATATAGAATTAGACAAATCCATAGAGGTAGAATTGGGGAATACCACTTCCCTCATGGTATTCCTCAATCCCACATATATAGATTTGTCTAATCTAATCTCATGTAACAAATAATCTCTCATGCTAAACACTATTTTCTCAATCTCAATCTTAATCCTTATTTTTTATTTTCAATGCTTCATATCAAACGATACCTAAGCGTTTGCTAGAAGACCAAGATGAACTGCGCGCAATGTTCAAGTAATTAGTAATTACTAAATTAAATAATCGAATGCTAGAGCATACTATTGAGCTCTCAGATACTATGTATTGTTTTGTACTGTTTGTTTTATTGTCTTATGATTATGGTATAAAACAATGATTATCATTGTAGTGCAAGTTCATAAAATATTATTATTATTATTATTATTATTATTATTATTATTATTATTATTATACTCCTTGACTCCTTAATATATGACATAATTCTTGAGTTGATTTTGATCCTCAATGTAAGACATATTTATCATATTTATAATTTTTCTCTTAAATTACCCTATAGATACTCACTCAATTATAATCCAGTATGAAAGCAGGAAGGATATTAAAAAAGATTATGGTGTTTTAAGAAAAACATGTCACATTTTTTATAATTAACTAATTTACCTAACTTTCTTAACCTAATCAACTTAGTTAAATAGGTCTTACATAAAAAACCGGAAGAGTGTTAAACAAATGAATTAAAAACACCTATGGCAGTTTATATGGATTGAAATAAGGCACAGGGGCGGGTTCCGTCGCTGTATATAACATGCCAGAGATTGTGAAATATCCAGATCTCATCAACCACCGGAATTTGGAGTCAGGTAATTTGCTTGATTTACTCTTTACTTGTTCTTCTCTTCCTCTACCTGAATTTACGCCTACTTCCCTACACTACACATACCAAATTATGGATCTAAAACAACGTAGCTGCCCTAAGAAGGGAAGACAAAACTAATATGTTTCTATGGTTCATGTCTCAAAGTGGCAGGGGCTTCATCCTCTGTTTCTGGATTGAGGGCAGAGCAATGTTGTGGTTATGCTTTCTCTTTCCAAATCACTATTTTTATCTTTCTTCTGTTTCTCAAAGAGCAACGTGCAGTGTAATTTATTAATTCTTATGTCATTTTAGCTAACATATTGAAGAATGATACGTGAACTTATGTAGAATTATACCTTCTAGTTAGTTAATTAGTATTAATGCTACTTCAATCTAAGACAATTTTAGGCGCATAAGCATCCTCTCTGTGCATTCTGCTTGTCCAGTGTCTTATTCCATTATTCTTGTTTCTTTTCCAAACATTCCCAATGTTTTATATAAAAAAGAATTTTCAACATTAAAATTTTTTATTATAACCATCTAGTACCCAGTTTTTCTTATGATTTTAATACCAAATTTGTTTTTAATAGAATTTTTTATTATTCCTCCGGTCCTAAATATAAGACTCTGATCGAAGGGGTATTTGCAAAATCCAAACACAAAAAACTGTTCTCTATCCAATATAAATTTACTGTTTTTTTTTTTTAACCAAGGTGCAGCAGAAGGGGAATTGAAGATTCTCACCCCGGGGCCGGGAGGTAAAATTGTTTTGCACCTGATTATAAATTGATTGTGAATTAATTTTTGTTAATTACTCCCTCCGTTCTTTTTTATAAGTAATATTGGAGTTCATCATGTAAATCAAAATATTAGTTAAAATTAATTAAAGATAATAAATATGTAAAAATTAGAAGTTCTTTCACTAATGCTTATTTATGAGAGGAGAGAGTATAAGAGAGAGAATAAGAAAATTATTATAATAACAAGAATTATAAAAGAGAGAGAATGTGTGATGGAGAGATGATAATTTGAAAAATGAGTAATAAATATATTGAATATTAAAATAAATAATTAATAAGGGCAAAATAAAAAATTTTAACAAAAATTTAAAACAACTTATAAATATTGTTTATATTTAAGAACCAAAAAAAATGATAGTTGTTGTTTTTATAATGGGACGGAGAGAGGGAGTACTTAATTATGTTGGGCTTGTTTGTTTTTGTAATTACGTTGGACTTGTTTGTTTTTGTTCTTTGTTTTCTTATTTTCAAAACAATTTTATAAATTGTTTTTAAGAACAAGTTTTGGAAAAAAAAACAAAAAATTTTGTTTAGAAAATAATTTTTAAAAAATCAAATTTGAAAAAAAAATTGAAAAATTATATTTTGACAAGTAGTAATTATCACTGGTAATGATAAGTAGTAAATAATAGAGGAGAAGAGAAGAAGATTTTTTCAAACTTTCAAAACAAAAAATAAAAACCAAAAAACATGTAAAAGTTGTTTTGGGTTTTTAATTTTTTAAAACAATCAACTAAAAACAAATTGCTAAATAAATTTTTTTAAAAAAACAAAAAATTATTTTTAAAACAAGAATCCAAATAAGTCCGTTATTTTCTTTTCTTTTTTTAACAAGATTGATAAATTCGCGTGAAAAGATATTTTTGAGAGTTGGGATTATGAAGGCATAAATTCTTCAGCGAAACTTTTGGCCAAAAAAGAAAATTCTTCAGCGAAACTCACGAGGAAGCGAAGAAAATTGACGAGGTAAGTTTTATTCACGGTTTAAGAAATTACAGGCAGTCGCACGCCTGTATCACCCACTCCCTCACTCCCACTTGCCTCGTTCTCTGTCCATCTCCATTCGATCTCCAATCACACCAAATTCTCCTTCTTCTTCTTCTTCTGATGCGAGAGAGAAACCGCGTATTATCTGAATCAAAGAAGAGCGAACAACTCTCTCATGCGTCCGACCCAATTCAATCTCCGGATTGTAGTTAATCCGGTGTTGCGGCTATGCCCGCCGCCGTTTGTTGCCGTCTGTCTTCTCTTCCCTCCGCCTCTCTTTTCCTGCCCGACAACTCTAGGGTTTCGCTTCTGAAGCGTCCCTTACTCCGGCTATCGCTTAACTGGACCTCTCCTCGTGTTCGATTTCAAGCCGGGTTTCCAATTAACGTAAGATTTCGGTCTACTTGTGGCTGCCTATGCATTAATTGAATTTGATTATTTGTTCTTTGGTTGCTCGGAGAATTAAGGGTTATTAAAAGAAGGAATACATGGAAATTATGAGGAATTAAAGGTGTTCTCCAATGTTATAGAGTGGAAAGTTTCAATATCTAATCTTTCATCTGGCTTTATCGGCCTCGGCTTTCGCCTCAAACATTTCTTTCCTGCCGTGCGCACATAATAAGAAATAAAACTAGTAGATATCACGAAGGAAGCATTGTCTACTTTGTAGATGTTTTGTATCCAATTACGAATACATATCACAATGTCTATAGAGTGTTGGACTATTAGGTCGTCGTGGCAGACTGTTCCCCCTGGGTGCATCTGTTTAACGAGAAACAAAGGTAATTTTTAGTATTCAGGGGTGCTTTGAAGTAGGAACATGTAATGTGATATGCAATTATTAGTGTTGCAATGATAGCCCAACTGCTCTTTATCTCCGTTTGGTATGATCAACATAGAGGGATTCAATTTTCACATCAAATAAATCAAGATATGCAATATTTATTATATTCCCATTATCATTATTCAACATTAAACCATTTGCTAAGCGGCATAAAAGACGTTTTGCATAAAAATATCACGTTTTTTATTCAGTTTCTTCTATTCTATACACCAAATCAAACCCTCCAGCTGAGATTCTGAGCTTGACCTGATATCAAGTAGCAGATATGATTTTGATCTTCAAACTGCTTCAATAAAACTAAGCATATGTTTTCAATGGCAAACATGATTTGGAGCGGTGGGGTGGGGATATGAAAGATAATGCTATCATTTTAATGAGAAGTCAACCTTTATACATGTTACTGATTTGCTTCTTTTTGATGCTTCATAAACCTGTGCTTATCAGCATACTCAAAACTTGAGCTTGCTTAACTTGGTTCTCCTTTGACCTTAAATTTTGAGTTAACCTTTAGAATTTAGCAAGACGAAGTCATGGGCTAGCCTCATAACTTACATATGTCAATATGTGCTTGATATTGTTCATGCTCACTATCTTCAGCATAGGCCTCTTAGGGTAGAGAAAACTTGGCATTTACTGTCATTGACTGTGGCAGAATTTGGTGTTGTTGGTCAAATACTATGAAGTCCACAATTGCAGTAGGTCATAAATTACAGAGCAGGATAGACATGCAGCATGAGACAAGAAACCCAGTAAATGATGCAATCTGCATTAGAGTCATGGAGAAAAGAAAATGATGGTGATTTGTTGCCTATTTTGAGGTTAAGGATTTGTTTTCTTATTCGATTTGTTAAAAGGAAGCTAAGGTTAGAATTTCAATCATTGGCATCCACTCTATTTAGTCGATAATTAAAGAAATCATGATCTACAAGGACGATAATATATTTTTATTTGTAAGGCTGAGGGATCCTATCTTTCACTTTATTTAATCTTAAGATGTTTAGTGGACTTCTTTTGAAAGATGGGAACTTACCGAGGAATGGCACTATCGCAGTGAATTTAAGAATTGTTAAATTCGGTGTCTATGACACAAAATACAAAGTACCTAACTTCACTGCATTTTGTATGATTAGCCACTGCATGAAATTTGATCTTCTAGGGTATATTTTGCCTTCTTTCTATTAGCCTAACTTCAATTATCACTCCATTCTAGAAATGGAGATTTTCCTGTTATAGGCATGAAAACTTTTCATCCGAGGATCCTACCTCAGAGCTCATCAAGGATGCATTTTCAGAAGATTTGGTGAAGTCCAACTGTGACCAATCCAAAGACGTAAATAGAGACTGGCTTTCAAATATCCATAAGGTATTGATTTCATTTATGGAGAATCTGGTATGAAAAGGAAAATGATTTGTTTGTTATCTCTTACTTACCGTCATTTTACTTTGAACCAAATATTAGAAGTTGTAGCACTTTACAAAGTGTTTCTTTTTGACATTTTCTAGCTTTTTCATTAACATTTATTACTGATCTCACTTGGTGAGATAAGGCTTGTTATTAGATTGCTGTTATCGTTTTCTGACATTTATCCTATTGCTCTCGCACATTTTGGGATCTCTGCGTGTGTGTTCCCATTTGTATACTTGTACTCTTTTTAGTGATTCAGCCAAGATGGGCTTTGTCTCAGTACTAAAGTTTGGATAACATGTCAGCGACTTAGTGGATTGATTTAATCACTATTTATTTTGGCCATAGTTATTTTAACCTTGAATCCTTTAGAGCATTTTTGGAATAGAATGATTATACTAATGGCATTGTGCAATCCATGTAACTTGCCTCACTTGGTGGAACAAGGCTTACTGCTGTTTTGTTGACGATTATGCCAATCTTCTTGTTATCTTGGAAAGCCTCAGGAATAGTGAGGACAGTGTTTGCTGGTCTTTCAGGGTGCAAATGCAATTCTTGGTGCGGAGCCTTGGACAGTCCCCTGGACAGGGAAGACCATTATTCAGGTAAAGCATATTCTTTATGTTATCCTTAACGTTGATGGTTAACTTGGTAGCATGAAGGTTTTCTATGCCTTCATTTTTGAGCCATGAACAGAGTCATGGGTTTCTTCCATTTGATTTCTTGAAGTTTCTGAATTGATATAATTCACCTCAGTTAGAAAATTGGAAATGGATGTTAGTAATAAATACCAGCATGTTACACTATCTGGCTGGTTTAGTGACTACTAAACATGTGGCTGCTCAAATGAAACGGATGTCAGGAAAATTTACATTTTTGTGCTATTTGGAAGTTATTGCAGTCAATGTAGAACATATTATCTATTTATGTAATCATTACTATTCTTGGTAAATCTCATTAGCGAGCTAAGAATAGTCCACCCTATGAGGGAATGAATTGTGTCACATATGGTGTGCATATTGGTACGCGGGTCAGAATATGAATATAGTAGCTATTAATGATGCCTCTCTTTTTAATAATTCAGAGAATAGGAGATTAGATGCCTCTGCTTGTTATGGTGTTGCATTATTCTTAAGCTATCTATCATTTTTTTGGCATATAAATTTGAGGCCTAGTATGTAGTATTTTTCATTTATTTTGTCATATTATTGCTTGCATTATTACATTTAGAACATCGACTGAGTTGGGTTTTCCAGGCTATGCTGCTATGGATTGCATCATTTTGGTTAGTAGGATCCTGGATAGTTCCGTTTCTGGCATACACAGCAGGGTTCAGAAAAGAGTCTCTTACATACAGAGGACAGGCTTTGTACAGCCTCTTAACAGATGTTGCTGAAGGCTTGGTTGGGATAGCAATACTTCAGCGCTGCCTCGCAAAGTTTCAACCACTTCCATCCGACTGGTTCAAATTTAGACTCAAAGGCAAATGGCCGTTTGATGTTGGTATTGGCTGCTTCATGTTCCCCCTTATCAACCGCCTGTCCCAAGTGAATCTAAATTTACTGCCCATTCTTCCATCTAGTCCTGTGACTATTTCGAGTGTAGAACAGTCAATTGTGGCAAGAGACCCAGTGGCAATGGCCCTCTATGCAGTGGTGGTCTCAGTTTGTGCCCCCATATGGGAAGAGATCGTCTTCCGAGGTTTCCTACTTCCATCTTTAACAAAGTATATGCCTGTATGGTGTGCTATATTAGTTAGCTCTGTAGCTTTTGCCCTGGCACATTTTAACTTGCAGAGAATGCTGCCTCTTGTATTTCTTGGCATGGTGATGGGTGTTGTCTTTGTAAGGTCAAGGAACCTCTTACCATCAATGTTGTTGCATAGTTTGTGGAATGCTTTTGTATTTCTTGACCTCATGAAATGAAAGGCTGTGCATTATTTTTCCAGCTTTACCTTCTTCTCTACTCTATCCCCATTATTGAGCCTGCTTAATATTGCCTATTTTATTAGCAAAAAGATTTAGTTTGCGTAAACTCACCCTTCAGCTCGAACTGATATTCATATGTTGAGATGGTTTTTTTTAAGTTCTTAGTCTTTTGTAACATCAGTGGTAATGATCATTTCGCAAATTGTAATAAAATGTCAGTGATCTTGCTGGCAATATGCAAATAACTTCTTTTACCAGCAAAAATATGCACATAACTTCCCCATTCGCCATGGATAAAGAGTTTCACATCAAGGTTTTAGGCGAATCTTAACTACTGTGAGAAATGGTTTTTTTCACACACACCTCTCTCTCTCTCTATTTTTTTTTTTTTGGGTCATGACACGTGTGAATTTCTCCCCCCCCCCCTCTCATTAAAAGTAGTTAAACCATCTAAGCCGAGGGGCAACCGAACAGCTTGAATGCATGTGCAAAATTGGAATCAAATTTATATGACAATTTAAATTTAGATTTTAGCTTCATCGATATACATGTTTCTTCTAAATACAAAGGCCAATTCTAGTATTATGTTATTTGTCTCTGTTATTCATTCATTCTTGGCACCTGAGTGGAGGACTTCAAGGTCGTTTTGTTTTTCAATGACAACGAGAATGCGATCAAATGAGATTGACATTTTGCGAGAATGCGCCGTAGAGATAGCAAAACAAAATATAGAACAGTACAATTATCTCAGTTTTATTGTCTCTCCATCCGCCTACACTCCATTCTTTTCGATCTCTCATTAATTACCCATTATGCATTTAATTAAAAAATTCAGTGATCTTTATCCTTGCCTATTGCTCAAGCCATTCATTCACGGTCTCTATCACTCTAGCTCACTTTAACTTTAGCTGAGCTCTCTGGTTTAATACTCCGTACTTTATCTGCAACTATGCTCTTGCAGATAATTGTTCAGTACCAAAATGTAATGATATCTTATCTAGGTGGCACTCTTATCAACTGTTAAATGAATCTGGTTGTTCTCATCAAATGGTGAATATCACTGACAGTTAGACAGAATTCTGGTACATTATGATTCCCATAAAAAAATTTCCTACTCCTTTTTGCGAGAATTTCTGTCACACTCAATTTTCTTTTGTACATGCATGATTGGTGTAACATTCTTTTCAGAATTAGACTGCATTAATGAGTGTTGGATTTACTTGCGAATGCTTATTGTCTTAAAGGCAGACATAAGAGGGGACCAGTTGTTATCAAGCCACTCTGCCTTGTCTCAAGAACCATTGTGCATGTCTGCTTCTTTATCCGACAACCCCAGGGGCCCTTGTCTGCTACATTAAAATTTCATACATTTTGCAAACCATAACTAATTAGTTATTTTCAGTATGAAAATGACTTTTCCCCCCCACTTATCATTGAAACTTCTCAAGATTTGTGTTCAGGATCACTCAGACTGGTAGTGGATGAAATAGCACAAGTTTTCCTTACCGGGAGAATGTCATGATATTTTCTTGGTTTTTTTTTTTTTCCTTTTTCCTTTTCAGATTTAACTGATTCAGGACAAAAAATACAGTTACGTATGTCAATTGGTGACATGTAGTAATTCATCCATTTCCGCCTTCAACATGAGAACACTGAACATGCACCTCTTCGCGTTTGTTCTGATGTTGTAAGTACTATAATGTTGTGCCGATCTGCTTCATATTTCATATTAATACAGTTTTTATTCTCTTCTGAACTGTAATTATTTGAATCGATTAAGCCAACCCTTATTGATCAAGAGAATAGACCATTTATTTTTATTGTTGGCCATTGCTTCCCTTTACACGCATCTCAACTAATTCATCTCCTTAATCTGATCAATGACTTTTCCTAAATGTTTACTATTTTTTTCAAATAAATATCATTAAAGACTTTGACTAAAAGTTAAATTTGTAGCAGTCAGTTTGAGAAAGACTTGACTCATTATATATTTCTTTCAAAGAACTTAGCCTAGTGTTCTCACTGGAAACAATACCTCCCCCTAGGTTTATAGTTTCCGTGAGAATAGCTCAATAGTCAGACATAAATATATTCAGTATGCTCATAGCATGAGCATATAAGACCTATCGCAGTATTCGAGTGTCTTTTCACTCTCATGAAGCAATAATGCTGTCTACTACTTTGCATATAATAATGATGATGATGATTATGATCATAATAATAATATTTATAATTGTCCGACGTAAAATGCATATAAATGTGATTTAGGTTGCATGATATAAATAATATATGATTGTGGAATGGAATATATTATCATCTTGGTACAGCCATATGTTGAAGTAGTTGGGATGTGATGATCAGAATAATAGAATCATCTTTTTAAATTGGTGACATCAATCCAGAATTGATTAAACAAAACACAACAGGACAAGAAGAAAGCAGAGCAAGCTACCCAAATCAACAACACTGACTGTTCATCCTGATAAAAGCATGACTTATAAGTGATAAAAATGGAAGCTCTGAACTAGAATTCTAATACAGTTTTACTATATATCTGATCATTGAGTTGGGTTGAATTGAGTAATAGTATTGAAATAATAACCTGGACAATACATTAAAAACAAGCATTAAGGATTTCCTTATACTTCTTTAGATATATTTATATTGATGAGAATGGAGAAAGAAGTTGATTAAATCTATATTTTTCTCGAGTTAAATGTATTCTCAATGCAACATGCTCAATTATCAAGACTGGTTGGTTGTGCTTACTGTGTCTGAATAGGAAAGAACCCGCTACTTTTCATTGAATTGACTATCATTTTTCATAAATTATACTAAGTTCAATAAATAAACAAAAAGAAGGCCCCAAAATTTAAAGAAACAAATGATTAAAAAGCTAGGGCAAGGTTAACTAGTGATGCAACAGGACATTATGGGTCTGGTGTGGGGGCTCACTTTTCTGTTCTCTTTTTTTCCTTTTTCTTTTATATCTTTTCCAATTATTAAAATTCATTGTCTCTTGCCAGACAACCACATTCCCAATTGTTGGAGTGAGATGATATATCAAGGTGCGTCTGAATATAAATATAAAGCATTTACTTTAGCCATAGCCCACCTTGTGTCTTCTTTCCTTACCCTTTGAAATTTCTGAATTGTTTTGCATCTTTTCTTGTTCCCCATGGAAACTTCTCAGCCGATTTCCATTGAAAGCTTCTCTTACAGTTGGCTAGTGAACATGAAGCCATCTCTTGAAGCTTGTGTGGACGCATCAGATGAAGCTTCTTCCTTCATAGAAATGGATCCAAGAAATCCACCTTCCAAGAGGTTCTTCCAAAGGAACTCGCAGGAATTCAAGTTCGACTTCCCAGTTTCTCACTCTCCTCTTGCTCTTGTTCATGCAGATGAGCTCTTCTCCAATGGCTACCTCACTCCTCTTTTTGCTGAATCCTTGAAGATGGAATCTTATAGTAATTCTGTTTCATCAACATCCAACCTAGTTCCTCCTTCTTCTTCCCCTTCTTCTTCAATAAACAGTATGGGTCCTAAAGCTCAGGCTTCTAGATGTTCTTCTTTGAAGAGGTGCAGGACATTGTCAAGGAGGATGTTTCAGAAGTATCTCAACTTTTTGAGGCCTCTGTGTAAAAGACTGAGGGGTCGTCATCAGAAATCGGGTTCAAATCATGAAGGTGCCGGCAAAAGAGGTTTTTATGAAACATCACCAAGAATCAGTGTTGCTTATTCTGCAGATGACTGGAGAAAGTCTTGTGACTCTGAGAGCTCAATCTATGAGGCTGTTCTTCATTGCAAAAGATCCATTGGTAAACACAAATTCAATAACAGAAAATTCATTCATGATTTTTCACTTAGTACCTTCAATTTAAAGCTAACATGATATCACACCATGGGCTCTATATAATCTTGTTAATCTTTACTTAACATGTAATTTATCAGTCTTTACATAATAACTTCAATCTTTGAATTGAAAATGGTCCATGGAAGAATAAACTATTCATTAGTAGTGTTCTGTAAAAACAAAAGTTGGTGGCACTTACATTAATTAATATTTGAACCAATTGTTTTTTTCGCAGAAAGGACTTGAGGAGTGGTGCAGAAGAAAGGAAGGATGATGACGAAATGTAAAGGAGAGAGAAAGAGAGGAGACAAAAGGGAAAAGAAAGAAAGAGAAGCAGTGGATTCAAATGGGGGCTGAAGAAGAAGCCATTTTAGGAAGAGATTATGATGAGCTATTCATCACATGGTCTTTGTTCTTCTCTGCTGCTTTGAATGATAATGCCAAATTAATAATGAAACAGTACCAAATGCACGCAGATTAATTAAGAAAAATGATATGTAAACATATATATTGCATTTTTTTTTCCTTTTATATCATCTTGTTGATAAGAAATCACTCTTACTACCCCACGGATCTGCTTCATTTGATGAATATAATCAGTATGTGAATTATACGTGATTTTGCAGTAGTGAAAGATTTTCCCAGAAACTTTATTTGCACCACGAAGCCTCAAAGCTCAAGCATCTGCTATTAAGAAAAGGAACAAGGAAGAATTAATCTTTTGGACTAATAGCCTAAATGATCCAATTATTGTTGCGTAAATTAATGTTTCAGAAATAAACTCTAATGTTTGTTAAATTGAAATATCCTTGTTAACTCATTCATAATTAGGATAGGATGCAATATCAGCGGTATATTTTTTATATTTATTTGAACAATAATATATTCAATTAGTTTTAATTAATTGCCTCTATACGTCAAGACTCAAGATAGTAGGCCAACATCTCCCTATCTAGGCACGTGCTAAAAGTTCAATCTTTTAAAATTTTTAATGATTAGTTTGTAAAATACTATCTCCACAGTGGCATGTTTTAAAAAGGCATCATAAAAGAGCACATAAGCATGTGATTTTGGCGATGGATATTTTTGTTAGTGGTAAGAATATTATTATCATCATCTCGGCACGCATTTAAGAAGATATTCTTACATAGGTTTACTTAATAAAAGATTAATTAATTTTCCAAATCAATAATAATATAAATAAGTAAACGAAATCATTTAAACTATCTGTTTTGAGTTCGTAAATTCAGTGAGTAATTTATAAGCATACTCAATATTGTCCTTACCCAAGTTTAAATGGCAATTAGATTCTCTAAATGAGATCATAAAAAAAAAATTCCCCAGAGACAGAACTCCGGGAAGGTAGGGTAGAGATTTGTATGATAATTGATAAAAGAGAATCATATAATAAAGTCGTCCAAATGAGCAACCACGTTCAATTAAAAAAGATTTATTCTTCTTCACCGATTCCTTTTTTTCTTACATACAACACGAATTTTCATGGTTTCATAATGCTGCTAGAGTAGAGGCAAAAAAATAAATTACAAGACTACTCATTTAATAAATTTAAATTCATTTGAAAAATTGAAAAAAAAAAAAAAGAGAGAAAGAAATCCTAACTGTGAGAAAATTGGGCCTGGGGGAGAGTGATGCTTAGAAAGGACCACTCTGTATGAATCTATATATCGGTATCAGATGCCACTGGGTAAAATTACCTGAGCCTCTTATTCATAAATCTTTTACAGTATCAGTATACCCCATCACATGATCCCATGATGATAGTGACAATACGGCAACATAAGGAAAAGCAAAAATTTATGGTTCAAAGTTTAAACCATAAAAAGTATTTTAAACTATAACGTTATTTGACATCCAGGCATAACCCTACAATTGTTCATGCAAAATTCATTCAAATTTGTAGCAGTATTTAGGTTTCTTCAGAGTATGTATTTGGATTAGCCTATTTTAAGAATAAATATGTGAAAGGAGTTTTATTTAACGTTATTTGACATCCAGGCATAACCCTACAATTGTTCATGCAAAATTCATTCAAATTTGTAGCAGTATTTAGGTTTCTTCAGAGTATGTATTTGGATTAGCCTATTTTAAGAATAAATATGTGAAAGGAGTTTTATTTGGTAAATCTGTGTCTAGTAGTCTTGCACATGCATCGATCTTACATATGCAAGAAGCTATTCCTACTGAATCCAAGTCATGATGTTTGGAGCTAGTCGCTGTCTGTTGATTCAGTTAAGGTGAATTCCTTGATGTCTTCGAAGTTATAATTATGTATACAGATGAACACAATCATGAGACCAGGAACAACGTGGTAAAATCCTGGTTCATCCCAAAAGGTAGGCAAATTTCGAAAGCTACGTACTTACATGCATTAAATAATATGCTAGGTGTGTGTTTGTTTATATGTGAATGTCAGAGTCTAAACCTGAAATGTGTCTGCTTAAAGACCAGAAATGTTCATTCTTAAACTGTTGAAACAATTATTGTTGGTCTCATTTACGGGTCTTTTCTGGTTGCCTGGAAATACTACTTCAGTATTCTTGTTCAAGCTTGTCGTGTCTGAAATTCTCTCTCGCACATTCCGTTTTGTTTACCTTCACGTTAAAGAATCATTATGGTTTTTTTCTTTTGAAAAATATAGAATGGTGGGCTCAGTGTTAAAATGATAGGAATGAACTGATGTGAACAGTGGCTCATAGTAAAATAATAAGTGGAAAGCAAAGGTTATTACTTATTAGGTGGTCCAAATTAAAGCTAAGGTGGGCAAGAGAAAGAGCTAGAAACTGATCACATGCAAAGATGAAAGATATGGCGACATCGACAAAATGTGTTCCAACAAAATGCCAATTTCTTTTGTTTGCGTCATTCGGTTTTTTCTGCGGTTTCTTAGCTTGCTTTGTAGGGGACCAGAATCTCTTCCATGATCCATGTTTCCTTCTTTTTTTGATTTCTCACGTCTTCTATTCTACCATCTTCATCAATGGAGCTTTAAGTTTTGGGAGAATTATTATAAAGTCCCAAAAAATGTACCTTATTATCAAAAAGTTTCAATGACAAAGCAAGTACGCGCGCACATGAACTTCTTTATTATAGGTTTGGACTTTAGATTATTACCCTCATCCCTTATTTATATTTTCTTTTTTATACTAATATGCTTCCTCCATTTCTTTTATTATGTGCAGTTTGAGGTTTTTTCAGAGATTGAAAAAAAAAAACAATCAATGTGTGTTGCAGGATAATTGAAGACACTCTATTACAAGGGTATGCTTGAAAAATAATAATTAATAGTCTTGAAATTATTGTAAGGTGACGTGTAAATATTTTTTTAAAAAAATCCTTAAACGTGAAAATGGAGTATTATCATGTAGGTTGCTAAATTCCTTATTTCTAGCCGGAGATTATTATAATAATAATATGAGTTCATTTATTAATGCATCTTGTCAATGCATTTATAAGAGGATCCTGTTGTCTAATTATTAGGTAATTTATAACAATTTCTTATATAAGTGCGTATTAATTAAGGTGCATAACTATTGTATCTTCCATCTTTTTATATCTGAGAAACGACTTGTCAAATATTTCTTTTAATTAAAAAAGTATAAGAGTACGTACAATTAACTTTAGATAGATTTGGAAAAACATAAAGTCATAAACTGAGCAGAAAAAGCTTTCTATTGTGGTATTGTTGCACATCTCATAAAAATGTTCTCTTTTAAAATATTTTATCATGCGCGTGCATTCAAATTCAGAGAATTTGTAATTATTTAATTGAAAAATTTTAATAACATCACCCAAAAAATATGTAATTAATAAAATTTTTTGTCTCTCCTCATCTAATGACCATTTTTGAAAAGAAAAGTATTCCATAATCTATTCAAAATTCAGAAACATTTGCAATATCTATCTATCAACCTCTGATATAAATGTAGAGTTTACTTAATTAATAATAAATAAGAGAATCGAAAATTCGAAATCATCTTTTTTTTATAATATAAAAAGAAATGATGCAAATAAAATAAATAAATATAAAACTGGCTCCCTTCAACGTCAACCCATGATTCCAAATTTCCAATCAATCCAATTTCCAAAAACTGAATCCCCCAAGATATGGGTCATGGGTCCAACAAGTTATGGATGTTGGAGCCGTTAACTCTAAGCCCATAGCCCATAATCCTTGTGCAGCCCACCCAGAGTTTAATTGGCCCAATATGACATGTTAAAGCCCAAAATCATAAGGAGTTTTTGGGTTTTTCTTCCAGCGGAAAATTCATTAGAATGGCTGTGCCTGTGTCGACTTGGGCTTGTGGGAAACTTGCATCTCATGATTCTTCAAATCCGTGACATTGTTGTCCGTACTTCATCCGTAAGCTCAAGTTGCGAAGGCCAAATGTCCAATTTTGTTAGTCTTAATACTGATCTCTTGGTCGAAAAAGCATGCTTTATAAAAATCAGATTAAGAATATAAATCATATAAATATAAAACAAATGCGATATACGTAATTTCAGTAAAATCTAGGATACGTTTATGTAATTTATTCTTTTAATATAGGTTATACATATTTTGAAAACAGAAGAGAATATAATTTCAGCAGCATTCGAGAAAAATTGTAGAAGTTTTATAAAATTAAAACATATAATTTATAACTCATTTTCAATTAATCTTCTGTTATTTATTATTGAACTCTCCGGATTAACAAAATTTTGACAGTTTGGACTTTTTTACCCATTTGTAATTGATCTATTACAACATTTGCATTTAAACTTTCACTATTAGGAACTCATCATCTTCCGCAGTTTGCAATGGAGTCATATGTCAATCGTGTAATTAAGGACATTTTCTTCCCCTAACTTTGTTTTTAAGACATTGATTATTCTTTCACAAACAAAAAAACTTTGGTTATTCTCAATAATTTTAAAAATTCATGGTTTTATTACAATGATTAATTTCCTTCCGCATGGTCCTTAAACGCTGTTCTCCCTGTAAAAGTAAAAGAGTTCATTCCCTTTTAAATGAGGTTGATAATCTCAACAAAATTTGCAGAAAATTTATGTAATAACGTACTCTTTATTTTTATACAAAACCCAAAATTTACTCTCAGATACATTGACAAGCAGACGATTTTACAAAATAATCTAAAGAACCGTTTCTACCAAAAAAAACAAAAAAACAATTCCCCTCTCTTTCACACAAAACCTTCATCCTCTGACATGGTCATGGGAATAGCATAGGTTATCACTTATGTTCCTCACATGTCTGACAAATGAAGCTCACACTGAAGGATTCTTCACATCTCATTATTCTTTCAAAGCTTCACAAGCATCCAAACAAGCTCATACATATATCTTAATGTAAATGATCAATGCTGCTCAAAAGGGTTGGAAGGTTGTTTCAGAGCAGCTTCTAAGTCACCATCACCTTCTGTGTTTGAAAACTTCAAGAAATTTTCAATCACTTTGGAGTGCTCACTGCTTCCATGTCTGAGAGGGAACCACCTGTTCTTATGTGGTTTTCTTCTTCTGTCACTAATGGCGATGGCTATGTCGTTGGGGAAGAGGTCTTTGAGCACAAAAGCATGAAGAACGGTGGATACAAGAAGCGCTGTTACTGTGAGTGTTGAGATGAGACTGAGAATCACACACAGAACCTTTGTGACTATGTTGGTGACCTGGTTTGAGTACCTTATGGTGGCAATGGCTGCACCAGTCATTGGAAACGTGTAGGCCCACCATGCAAGAGAGAATCTGCACATTTATATCAAACATTTGTCAGAAGATTTGCTCCATTAATCAAAAGATTTCAGTTTAGACAATTTACTGATGTAAGAATCCAGTAGAGAGACTGAACTTACTTGAATCCTCTGAAAAAGTTGACCCGCACAGCCTGCGAAAGCATAGCAAGATCATGAGTTAACTTTCACTATGAGATGAATGATTCATAGCGTTTGAGCAAATTGTGCAGATGCATGCAAGTACTGCAGTGAAACTTACCAATGAGAAATAAAGGAAGAGGGCAATGAAATATGCAATCCTTGATCCGTAATCAAAAGAATCTTGAATGCGAGCCCAAGCCATGGAAGCAACACTGGGTGCTGCAACGAACAGAAAGAACACAGGATGAAGCTCTTTTGGGAGAGTCTCATTTGTAGGCAGCCTCTGATAGAGAGTCACAAACAATACTGTGTAGTGAGCCAGCCCCACAGCAAAGAAGAAGATAGGCCCTTCTTTCAGACCCATGGATGCACCCAACAACGCCCCAACGAAGTTTCCAACAACTGAGAGATGATTTGAAGGATTGGCCACTTTTGAGAGTCTCCTTTGGCCCCCCGACATCCACTGTCCATAGATCTTAAGCTCAAGAAAGAAGATAGGAACCATGAGAATGTACCAAAGTGCATGATGCAGGTACTTGGTCAGTGATGGTGGAACTCCAAGAGCTAAGAACAAGAGAGCTATCCATGGAGCAAAGAAGAAGTTGACTCTGATTGGATGGTAGTATTCACGACGGACTGCTTCAAAGTAGATGATGATTTTGAGAAGGTACATGGTGAAAATGGATGCAACAAGAGCGATAGAGATGATCCACAAGACCAGATTTACTTCCAGGCTTATGTGAAGGAATTCAGTGGAAGGAGATGTGGCCAGTGTTTTCCACAGAATTGCTTGGCTACTAACTCCAAGGCATATACCAAAGGATGAGATAGGAAACCGAAGAAGAAATGGCCACCTTTCATTTTGAGGAAGTACGGCCTCTTCTGAAGCCTGTTAAATTAGGAAAACAAAATAAAATTTGTTACAAAATTCACCAACCAAAATCTGTAAGTTTCGATATAATCTCTAACACATCCTTCAAAGGAAAAAGCATATTGAATTGAATTGTGGAATCAAAAGCTGAGCGATCAAGTGACCACTAGCATCCTAATTTCATTGATGAGTGGGGAAAAAAAAAGTTCCTAGATGCTTACTACCTAGTGAGACTCTTTGTTTAGGTTTCTACAATAAAATCTCAGTCCTGAAAAAACTTTGTATGGTTTATCAATACCAGATGAATCTAGGAGTACTAATATAAGCAGAAGAAAACCACATACCCGTAAAGTTTCCAATTCTGGACCTTCCAATGCATCGAAGTATCTATCAACTGTTAAAGGCCTATCTGTGTTGTTTATGTTATTTTCCTGTTTTGCAGGCGCTTGTTTGGGAGGTTTTCCGCGGAAAATTGAAAGCTGTCTCTCAAGTCTCCCAGAAAATGTCTTGAATGGATCAAACCTGTTATCCTTCAACCTGTTGATGTGTGGATTTTGGCCAAAGTTTACTCTTCCTTCAGTATCTTCCGGGTACACATGGCCTTTCGGCATCGGCTGAGAATAGCATTTTGCTTGGCGTGGTGGTTTGGATCCTTCAGTGTTTGATTGAGAAGAGGAATTGGGAATACCATCTCCTAAACTTGTTTCACCATTGTTGTGTGACTGAACTTCTTCCGGAGAAAGTGGCATGCTGATAGAAATAGAAATCTTTCTTTGATGATTGACAGCCACAGATTCATCACCTTGTCCTTTTTCCTCATCCTTTTGAATTTCCTGCTACAAATATATGTGAAGATATTTGGAAATTAGTTTATATCTTAAATATAACTACAAATTAGAATGAAACCAAGCGATCAGGTACTAAAGCAATAAAAACATTTGTTTAGAGCATCAGATTGATCACAAAACAAAAACTATTAAGAAGTTGGGAGTTATTTAGGATCTATGAATCCTTGAAAACTCTTACTTTATCAGATGGGCCGAGAAATTGTAACTCTGTAGCAGTCTCGGTGCTATCAAAGCCAGCTACTTCATTTGATGATATGTACTTAATAAGTGATGGAACTTCGAGCGATCCATGCTCTGCAATCTCATGGCTTGTGCTGTTCTCCATGCTACACCTGAAAGGTACAAGAACATTTCAGTAACTTAAGACCTCCTTAGCTAATTTTGCTAGCAGTATCAATTGGATCTTTAAGTTTCTGAAAATTATTTAAACTGTTCATTACATAGGAAATGAAACTAAAGCAGAAATGAATATGCCCTGAATCTCACAGCTTCATTAGTACTTTCAGATGTAAGATTGATATATATCACCAGAAAAAAAAAAATGTAAGATTGATATAAGATTGGACAGAGAAGCGCCGCCTATCACTGTATCGAATTTCTGGAAAATCTATGATCAACTTGAGATCGGTGAACAACAGATAAGAATCAGTCATCAGCTATCCATGGCGTTTTGCCTTCTTTTTTTGGCTATATATTTACGGCCTTTTATTGATATCTCTTGAATCACATTCACCCTCGTAATTCTTAGTCAATTATTTTCTTTCTCGTTATGAAAACGCTGGCGTCCAGCACAACACTAAACTTTGAATTACAATACAGACAATTTCGTTGTATCAGTTTGATCATATTAGTGGATATCATTCTCCAGAAAGCAAAACCAAAATGGCATTATCCTGTATTCAGATGGTCAAAATCAGAGAGATATGCAGATATCCATTTACTGACTAAGAGAGAAACACAAATTATTCTCCTTCTTCAAGAATGGTGTCAATCAGTCATAATAACAAGCAGGAAAAGGTCATTTTCGGCACCCAGAAAAAAGAAAATGAATGGACGGAAAGTTATCCGGGGTCGGTGATGAATGTAGAGAGTTTGAAGAAGGTACGTTTCAGTCCCTTTCATATTTACACCCAGAAACAGTTTGGTCCGGAAGTTCCAAACATCATTCTGGCTTAGCTACCTCAATCTTCAAAACTCATGAATGCATCATCCCAACTCAGAGAATTTCAGAAACAGAGCCTCACTGTACGGATTTCCAAGTATCAGATTACTATATAAGAAAACAGATCAGGGATTCGTACCTTTTAAAAGTTATTCACTTGTTCTTATGTCGTCACCAGAGAAACTGATAGAACTCAGGAATAATGGAATCAGAACCAGAAGCTTGAAGAGATGATCGAAGATATAACTCAGGTGGGGAAAGAAAACCAATTTTTGACGAGAAAGAGAGAATGTAATTTTGTTTGAAGAAGAACAAGGAATGGAAGCGAAGAGGAGAACAACAGATGGCTTCAAACCTTAGGAAGCAGGTCATATATAATACGATTCTGAGGCAGGCCCATATGTACTTGCAAGACGATTGCATCAGAAAAAAGGGATTTTTAAAAAACCGAAATAATAATATGAACAAAGAATTTATTTTTTGAGAATGACACGCTCATCTATGGAAGAAGACAGAGCAGCTCAATAAGCGGACGCAATATTTATTTGACTAACAAGCAAGTTGATTTGACAATACGGAAAAAACTGATGAGAAGTTATAAAGTAAGGCTTTAACCGCATCCTTATTCCTAGAAAATAGAGATTACTATACAATGGTGGCGTTAAAGAAAAGTAATTTTCCTGCTTAAGCATGCGATTTAATTTAAAAGAAAATTTAGGAGCCTTGAGATTTACAAATACAAGTACAGAATCGACGGGAAACTCCATGCATCACGTAGCCGAAATATATGCATTAAAAATGTTCACTTTACGCCGAGATTCCTTAAGATTTGATCAAATTTAGGTTTACAGGAAATAACTCGAATGAATATGGTTAAAAAATTAGCCTCAAGAGACAGAAGCGATTTACTAAAACAGAACAAAAATAACAAGAAGACGGCGTGGCAGGTATTCCCAGGAAAAGGGAATAAGCTGGATATAAAACGAGAAGAAAAACAAAGCAAGATTAAGACAGGATTAATAAAGAAACATATTGAACTATAAACAGAATTAAAGAAAGAAAACTTGGAGATTAACATAATGAAGGGAAAATAACGATATAATTATTTCTTTTATGGGGGCCTAAAAAGAAGGGAAAGGATAGATGGAGTCTGATATTGATGTTCAAAGCACAACAAAACTAAGCTGCCGAAGTCAAAGGATTAATTAGAAATTAAAATGAGTCGTTATCATTACAACCAGGACGCCGCGCGGCTGCTTAATTTAATTGGAACACAAGATTTCATTTAGTAACCACGCGTCACCAACCCATTTTCATACATATTCAAGCAAACTACACATTAATTATTCTAACCTTTTTTATGCCCGTCAACTTGATATCGATTCAAATGCTTCAATATATTACTCCCCCGAATGAGGTTTAGCACATATATTTAAAACTTATTCTGTGTCTGATAAAAAAATGTGTTTCCTATTTTACCCCAGTAAATACATGTAATTAAATTCGGGAGAATTACAGCTAGGTTCCAAAACAAATTTAATTATCTTACAGTTTATTGGCAATTAAAAAGCATGCAACAACATGTTTCAGGGTAATGAATAACAAATGTTCATGCTGATCACTTATTATTTGGATTTTTTAGTGATTAAATTACTTTTTTGAGACCTCATGATAATGCTCCCAGAGAAAATAAAATAGTTGGCAATGATTTTTCCAATGCCGTTCATAGTGACTAAATTATTATTATTATTCATTAAATTTTGTAATTTTGGTTATACTCCCTCCATTCCTACATATAAACAACATTCTCTTATATATAGGGTTGGTATTAAATATAAGCAATAATTTTTTGCTAACACATTCTCTTAAACTTATCCTCTTTGTGAAAAATAAGGATATATTTAAAAAACAAATTACATTTCTGATGCATTTATTACTTTTAACTAATTTTAATCAATATTTTAATATATATGATTTGGCTAGTTGCTGGTTATATATAGTACTAGCTGGTGGGAATACTTGACAACAAAAGTTTCTTGCTTATATCAGACAACGGAGGAATAGCTAACATCTTTCTTGACTAAACTTGTTATGACTTCTTCATTTTATTTTAAAATATATAAATCTATTGGCTATTTTCCACGTTCATATATATCTCAACAAGCTAATCAACACATCGCTGTATTTGACATAAACAATGATCCACTTGAAGTACCCTGATTTATACACGGCATGTATTTAGTTTAGGGATGTTTTCCAGAATTAACTGATCGAACTTTCTTGTCTATCAATTTCACACGTTCAGTTTTTTCCCCTTGATATCCATGATTCCATTTTCAGACTGCTCTGAAAGCTTATCAATCATAATTATTTCATAATTAACTATACTTAAACAATGAACCCTTCTTCCTTGAGCAGCCCGATCAAAACAAGATGATAATTAAAAACAGAAAAAATAAAATGTTGTTCTTTCTTTTTTAATCAAGCCTGGACTAACGAATAAGTAATTAACGCTCTTAATCTTTCGGGCTCCTGAAATGCAAATTGACACATAATTAAATTAGCGTAGGATAGCTCTTAAATCATAATCAACTGTATACAAACAAAGCAATTAATTAATGGTAAAAGTCATCAGGATTAATTTCCACCGTCAATTTCGCCGGGGGAATATAAAAAGGGTTGGTTAGATGGGAACATTGAGAATCACAATAATTTTAAAAAAATAAAGAAAATAAAAAAGGAAGAAGGAAAACTGCAAATAGTTTAAGACCACAGATGGTGCAAAGGCCTAGCAGAAGTCCCCACTTACAGCTAGATTATTTGCTAGACGTACCCTATATATTCATTAATTTAGCAATAAATTATATAAGCAAAGAACAGCTAAATGTGTAGTAGCAAGACGAAACACGCCTCTTTATTTTCTGTGTATGTGGACCCCTTTTATTAATTTTATATATCCAAGTAGGAGTGAGTTTCTCGGAATGTTCTGAAGAATATGTGAACCTGATTTGATGTCCATCTCCTCATATCCATCAACTCACTGGTTCCTTCAGGGGAAAAAAATAATAAAAAAGTCTCTCATCACAGAATTTATTATCTAAAGGTTATCTAAGAACCTAAGTCTCTAATAAATTTTGTAATGAGAAATTTTGATTTAATGGTTTTTTTTTCTCAGGCGAGGAAATATCCAAGAAGAAGACTTTCATTTTCTTTCTTGGTGGGAGGTCATATGTAATAATGCAACTTGATATACGTACTCGTTTTTCCTCTCTGGCTTCTTCAGCTTTATTGACGTTCCAGGGGGAAAAAATTGAGAATAATGAACTTTGACTCGTCCTTCACATTCGTGTACAGCTGACTAGCCCCTACAAGGGTTTGTTTTCATTTTGAACTTTGATTTGGTGTGTTTCGAATTTGGTAGCACCAAGAATAAGTCAACATTTATTAAACTTGACTTTGTGATTAATTTCAGACATCGTGAAAAGAATAATATATATTTAGGTCGTTTTTCACAAAATAAGACAGTACAGTGCATGAAATTTGTGTTCACTTTGAGCTTTATAATTCAAAGATCGTGTTTCAAATTTAGTTGTATCAAGTCAACTGCACTAACCAACCCTATGGCTTTGTGATTAGCTGCGGATCGTGAAAGAGAATATCTTCATGAGGTCGCGTTTTTCACGCAACACAAAATTTGTGTAATTATGAAGGGGAATTATAGTTAAATTGAAAAGTTTAATTTAATAATAATTAGATTTAGAATAGAGGATCCCATATAAAATTTTCTCGAAGAAGCATGAGTTGCAAATATGAGGGTTTCACTGTTTCAGTTACAAATCGTCAAAACGAGTTATGATGCTTAATTACCTAATTTACAGCTGAGACTACTTATTTAATTCACAACTATTTAATAAGTCAATATTTATAATCTCTTCCAACAAAAACCAATAAAGTTAGGTCTAATAGAAAGTGTTAGACTCCGAAAACATGACAAAGTAAAATTTGAATTTTTACTGAAACAAATATTTATATTTAGTATTCGATAGTATTTTGAACATGATTATCTTTAATTAAAAATATACTCGTAATAAGAAAAAGAAATCTCTTTCGACAAAAAATTTTGACTAACTATTATTTAATGGATTTTTTTCCTTCAAATCTAAGTATTACTTCTCTATCATCCGAAGATAAGAAAAAGAAATATGTATCAATATTACATTAATATAGCAAAAAAAATGGAAATCATATATGATGATGCGCATAATTACTGCTTGCTTTTGAAGACAAATATAATCACACGGTTGGGCCTGTGGAATGTGTGTATGGCCACGCATAATAATGCAGGCCATTTATATGAATTATTGCATGGCACAATAAATAACGATTGGATATGTTGATATAAGGTTTAAATGTTACGTAGAACCAAATCTTTCCATAAAAAAAAAAAAAAAGAATTTAATAAAAATAAGTCGTGAAGTTGCACATATATATATGTTTTAAATACTGGAAGAAAGAAATTATTCTGATGTATACGTGTTTATTAGTCAGTACATGTGGACTGGTAGACATATATGAGCACAATTTGTATGATCTTAAATAATGATGCTTCTTTTCTTTTTCTTTTTTTTTGATGGTTCACCAAATTCTTATAAATTAAAGCACATGTTAGGTACACCGTATACTCATAATACCAACAATTTGGGTTCATGAGATCACAATACGATGAGTTGTCAACAGATTACATTAAAAATGGGGCAAAAATAAAGATAGGGACAGTAAGTGACAGCACCGTAGACGGGTACATATGAGCCATATTCTACTTGTATAACAATTAACAAGTTCCTTGATCCATTTGGATTCTAAAAAAATCTATTACAGGTTTATTAATATTTGGCGATTATTTTTATTAATATTTAACAATTAACAATTACAAACTATCAAATAAAAATACATCATATATGTTCTGAACGAATATTTAAAGTCACCAGCAAACTGTTAATTGAGATGATAAGTAATTTCACTCCCCATACGGGAAGAGAATACAAGTATGAATCCTAAAAAGTGCACTAATTAGGAAGACCTTAACTTTAATACTCTTGACTTGACGGGGATTAGTCTCAAGCCTAAATGATTTGAGGATATTCTGAGTTATACAAAAATAAAAATATTCAAAACTATATTCAATGGATATTTTATGAACAACCGTCTAATATAATAGCAACTTCTAAAAAAAAATGACGGACATATATGAGCCAGCAGATTGTACATATATAACAATTAACATGTTCCTTGATTCATTTAGATTCTTAAAAAATCTATTAAAGGTTTATTAATATTTGGCAA